CATCCCGTTTCAATTGTGTCAACAAAGACCGTTGCGCCACAGGTTCTCAGTGTGAGCAGCGTGCAAGGAGAAAGACGTCTTGGTCTTAGTTCTTGAAAAATAAACAAATCTTTTGATTTGATGAGCCAAGTGTGAAGTGATTTTGAACGCTTCAACGGGTAGACAGCCGTCTTCGCCATCAGTGCAGGAGAAGAAAATAGTTTGATAAAACCTGGGGCACCCAGCCGGCATGTTTGCTGATGGGTTGGCCTCCAGCTCCTGTTCTTTCCTTGGCAGCCAAAAGTCACGAACCGACCGCGAATTCTGCTAGCAGACTGACATAGATGAACTGGGCCATTTCATGGATCTCGTTTTGTCTGCCTCTTTATTCACCTGTGCTTTGACGCTACGAACGGGGCTCCTGGCCTTACTGCGAACGGCATCGCTACGAACGGAACAATCGGCTGAGCGAGCGACTAACGGCCCCAAACAGCGACCACCGGCCCCCCCAACGTCCCTTTCTGGAAGAGAGATGAAGACGGAGGCCAGATTCCCCACTCAGGAAAGCACTGTCCCTAAGGTTGCGGTTCCTGTCCAACCTGTAAAAACCTCGAAACCCAACATACCTAAAAAGTGCAGTCAAGTAGTTTGCCCAAAGGTACCAAAACCAACCACCACTGAATGGGAAGGCCAACCAGGAACCCTTTGATTGCGTAAACAGCGTTGGGGCTGGGCCACCCTGACATGTCTGAGGTGGGTGTTGATGTCCAGAAAAAGAGCAATGAAGCCACCAAGGCGATCGTACCTGGTCGGCATGAGAGAGCGGATTCAGCAACGAGGCATCACAATTCCACAATGACCCTTTCTGATGGAAGGTCAAAGACTGGTTTGAAGTTAGCCTTTGAAATAGGGCTATGGACTTTGGCGTGCTGGATCAGAAGACCCATGGACTTTCTGCGCGCTTCTGGAGGTACGCTCAGAACCACATTTGCCCTGATCCTTTGTGGGTTGGAAAGCTGCCTAGGCCTCTCAACCATTACTGTCATACGGTGTTGGACCCGTAGCCAAAGCGATGTGTAAGGCAGCCCCACAGAGTACCCAGAGATGGAATGAACATGGAGTCATGGAGTGTACAAGGTAAAGATTCGACCAAAATGATGAGGTGTCCCTTTTCTGAAGGACCCGAAGGTCTTACACGAACTAAATTGACATCTAGCGTAGGAACAGGGTAGGAACAACACAAATCTTGCATTTCTTCCACACCCAGTTTGTCACTGCTTCCGCTTTTACTCATCGCGCCCCTGGAGGCCCCGGACACATCACAGCTGTGATGTAGAGCTGGACTCGCAACGTCGGTGACGCCTACCGACGTGCTGCGCGATGGAAGGACACCACGCGCATCCATGCCGTGGCAAAGGATGACATGGTGAACTTGCGGAAGCTAGGCTACTGGAAGTGTGCATCCAGTTGGCCATTCGTAGCAGCAGGGGTTGTTGTAGGGGCCTCTCAGTGCTGTCTTTGATTAAGTTGTTGAGTCGTTGCACTTGCGTGGTCGGTGCTGCACTTACACATGGCAAACTTGTAAATGATCACCATGCTTGTCCTGTGTCCCCAACACTCAATGTAGGATCGGTTGGTTGGCCCCGCTCCAGATCAGAACCCTGTTCTGCAAATAGGCTTCGTGCCAGATGGGTATGAGTCAGTTCTTGGTCTCCGCCTCCCATGAAGGTGTCGCCATCTCAGCCTCACCGCGAAATTGGAGATGTGAGGGAGGATGGGCTCACAAAGAACAAGAGCAAGCACCTTCACCTCTTGGATTGTCTATATAATCTAATTATTAATATAGATGCAAAATATAATCTTTAAGAATTCATCTGTAGGTGACCTGCAAGTCATTTGGTTTTCTCAGAAGTAGTAGTTAGATCTACAAAATACAGTACAGTACACATACTGTGTATCGGTCAATGAAAGTTCCCTGGGCGTGACAAGCCAAAAGGATCCAAAGTCCGAACGCGGATAAAAGTCCCTTGAATCTGGATCGAGAGGCCCGAAGAATGAACTGGTGGAGCCATTATAACGTGACTCGAAGCTTCCTCAGTTTTATTCCAATTAATGTATTTATATATATAATACATAATGTTGGAGCCTGAATAGTAAATAGGGCCCCCCCCCTCAAACAAACAGGAGGTCCTCACTATCACCAAAACAAATCTGGATTCTTGTGAGAATTCCTTTTTGTAATTGATAGTATTAATTTTCCTTTCATAGATTGTATTCAGCTTCCTTTCTCAGGTGCTTTGTAATTGTTCTCAGCAATCCGTTTGCTTTGCAGCCTCAGATCTTCAGCTCAAGAGAAGCCCCAAGCTTTCAGCTTCTTCCTCAGCTTCCATGGCTTCCTAAGTAAAGGAAGATTCCGTGCGCAATTTTTTCCAGTGGAAAAAACTTTTCACAATTGAGGACCCAAAAACAAATTCATTATTGAGAATCAGGTGCCTTCCTGGTCTACTACCTTGAAAATTTGTTTAGGAGCAATGTTTTATAAAGGGTTTAATTGGGGAATTGGTGGTTTTGGTCAGCTGTCAGTTTTGAAGAAACCTAGAGAAAGCTATATCTGCTAATGAATCATAATCATTGGCCTCAGAAGGAATTCAAACCCCTATTAATTGGGTTTCCAATTTAAACATTTAGGGTCCAAAAAAAAATTAGCATTATTCAGGAACCATTTTTCAAACAGGGGGGTCTGAATAAATTTGGAAAAATTTAGCATTATAGAGGACCTATTTACTAATCAGGCTCCAACATTATCATGTTTGTTCGGGACATCCATCATGTCGAGCGCAGTGCCTTGCGGAGGAATTGTTCCTGTCCAAGATCCACCTTGGCGATGTCCGCACTGCGAAGCACCCAAGTCGGCTCTGTTCAAAGAGGCCAAGCCATGGAGGTTTAGTTTACTGGTCCTTTTGCCGGAGGGGTGTCATTCATGTTGGAGCCATACCCACCCAAGTCGGTAGGTTCACCGACCCTTGGTGACCTCGCACCAGCCACCTGCGCCCAGCTCCCACTTACACACCACACGCGGGTATTCATCTGGCCTCCGAAGATTGGACGGAACAAGTGGGATCCTTCCTTCGCGACAGAATTCTTTGGCCAGTTTTTGCGGTGAGTGGTAGTGTGGCACTACAAGCATGCAATCCACCAGCAACATCCTTTCTATCCCTTCCCCCGAAAGGTTGCCCGACCGCTGCCACTAGGGGCAGCAAGGCAAGGTGGAGCAGTGCCATTGCCTGCCGAGAGGTCGCCCAAAAGGCAGCGTGTCTTTTTATTTACCTCTTTGAACCTGTGCAGAGTCTGCGAAATTCAGAGGCTGTTCGGCCGACATTTGACTGATTTTGGAGGCCCGTGTTGGAGGCAAATCTGAAATCCCTTGATGGTGAAATCGTTGTGTGTGCTGTGCTCAATAGTTTTGTGGCTGAACCCTGAACCGTTGACACCTTTCCCCCCCGCCCGCACGTTTCCCTCAAGTGAGAACCTTTGAAACTGCCCCAATCACAACACATGGGATGGCAGCTTTCCCGTGGGTTGCAGGTTCCAAGTTAGATTTTGACAACAAACCGGTGGTCACTTCATGTACGCGTCCGTCCAAAGAAACAATGCGGTTGGTGCTTCATTCCTCCCACCCATCAGCTTCACTGCCCGAGAAGCGTTTTGGTTCCACGACTGAGGACCAAGCGCCCCCAATCACCCGAGGCGAGCTACGCTCGGGTGAGCTACAATTGGAGCTGAGAAACTGCACGTCGAGTGAAGAGTCAGCTGACATGAAACGAAGAAGGCATGACTGGTTTTGATGCAGAAACAAAGTTGATTGAAATACTGCAGAAACCCTAACTACCGGGTATCTTCACATACGCATCTGCACAGAATTCATGTTACTGACATCTGGTCTGGCCAGCGGCAGACCCTTTAGCGCACCATGAGCATCTGAGAATATCAGTGCTTGAAGTGCTTGCCACGTGTCAAAAAGTAGATCTGGCTGAGGGACCTGAGAATTAATACCACTTCGTGAAAGTATTGTGGACAAATCTTGTGAGTTACACAAAGCCCCCTGTGCATCTGCAGTAGAACAACGAGGTCGTTGGGCCCCCAAGTGCAACCACTTGCAGAATTACAGAATCGAGTTGCCCTCCACAAATATGAAAGGTCTCCGTTTTTTGACTTCGTGGCAAGGTTGGGTGATGTTGCACAGGCTCTAGAAGCGCGTTGAATTAGCCTTAACATGCCTTAACCATAACCCTCTAGCAATCACAAGCATAAAATATACTGTGATGTACGGATTGTATCCCACGGATTCCCAACACCTCTGCGCTGCAACAACACGTGTCATAATTTTCCTGCCAGCACCACATATCCCTCCATGCTCCGCCAATGCCTTTTTGCATAATTTTGCATAGCCGAAAGCATGGACAGGGCCAATGTGCATTTGACCCCAAAAAGTGGAGAAGGCTCAGAAGGCTAAGCAAAATCATCCAAACACACAGGGACTACCAGGGACGTCCCTGGTACCTACTCCCCGCTCAGCGAGGCCTCGGGCAAGCGGATCATCGGCCACGGCGTGGCTCCACGGTTGGAGGTCTTCGACTTGTCAAAGTTTGCGTTTTGTTTTTGTTTTAATGTCTGTGGCCCTGCCAGGACGAGGCTGCTAGATTTTTCGAGCTGGACATCAATTTCCAGGTCCTACCCATTGGCATTTTGTGGAGCTTCCACATGGCATTATTCTGTTGTTCCATCTTACTTCAGTATTGGACTTTTCTAGAATGACGTGCAATAGCTCAGACCCATCACCAGTGCGCACCGAGTCTTTTCAAACAAGCGAGATGCAGTGGAACTGAAGGGCATTGTCGTCTTCTCGTGTCAAACAAGAGTCCTCCACCCACGGCCACGGTCATGATTGCGTCCAAAAGACGGCGGGTTTCGCTTGGAAACAACATGAAACAACAAACATCCATGTTCTCAGCCTACATTTTGCAACAGCTCGCAAGCCCTCCACCGCTGAGGGTCACATCCCAAGGTTGCGTGGGTGGAAGAAAGAAGCAGAAGGCTGTATCAAACTTGATGACCCAGAGGCGGCCTTAAATCTGAGGAAAACAGCAGCCGACCCATCAGGGGTCCTACATGACATCCATCTGAGCGAACCGATCACGGTTGGTGCTTTCAAAACTCATAGGCCAACTGAAGACCAACCTTGGATCAAGGCCATGTCATTCCGGTACAAGCAACTACTTCTTGACCACTGCTTGCTTTCTGTGAAGATGTCCAACATGTATCCTCTATTACATCATCAGTGACTATAGACATCTGTAGACCCTAGTTGACCTATCTTTTTAGATGACCAATGTAGAACACTCAACGGATTAGCACGGTCAGGGGCTGAAAAGGGTTTCGAGATGTCCCATCTCCAGGTCTTCTTGGCAGCAAAAAACCAGATGGGCCGAGGTCAAACTTTTGCTGGCTCTGGACACGTTTTTGGGTTAGGGCTACCGATGTTCGACTTACAACAGGGCAGCGAGCAGTCAAGCAATGCCACTTGTTGCACATCTGATCCATGGATTGTACCTGGATGCGTCAGCTCCACTACTCGATTCCGGTTTTCTCCAATCACCAATATCCGGCTTTCTCCAATCACCAATATAATAATACTATGTATATATATATACATAGCTATATGATATACAATGTATTGTGACTGGTTGGATAAACCAAAGGTCTATCCAACATCCTGTGGTAAAGTCTCATATCTAGTCCATGAAACGCCCACGGATGCGACGCTCTTTTTCAATTTCTTGGCACCTTTCCGACACGAGAGCACATGGGGCATTGGTCCCACTCCACTCACCTTCTCCTAAACACAGTCCCACACACAGTTGGACAGCGCGGACACTGCCGCCTACACTGCGTTCAGTAGAAGTTCAGCTCGGCGTCTCCTCCAAAAGCCTTGGGTGTGAAGGGCTTCAAGGCCAAGATGTCTTGGTCGCCGATGGGGATCGGATAACCTCGCGTGACGTGAATTCTGATGTGTGGAGGATTCCCGGCCCCGATGTTGGTGCAGGGGTGAAGTTGATGCAAAACATGCAAGAAAGGGCCAGGCAGCACGGAAACGTTGGAGATAGAGGGCGTGATGTGGGCGAGGTATTGAGCGAGATGGACACGTTTGCCCAGAAGACCCAGGCCCACTTACACCCAAACGCGAAAGTCCTTGCAATGCAGCTGTGGCAACCAAATCACACTGTGGCACACCATGCCACGACTAAGTCACGGCAACGTCCTTGCGTTACTTGATTCCGCATGGGGCACTGCGTTTCACCAAACCGGCCTGCCAAGCTTGAAACATTTTCCAACACCCAGTCTGCAATGGGAAACTGCTGCTGAAACTTGAAAAGTGTGTGCACGACAATGACAGGCAGCGAATGAATGGGGCCCATATAGGCCTTGCAGCAACGGCAGCAGCAGCGACAAGCAGCAGCAAGCAGCATGCAACAACACCAGCAGCAAGCAGCACCAGCAGCAATCAGCCAGCAGCAGCAGCAGCAGCCAACCACCAACAGCAGCCAACCACCAACAGCAGCCAACCACCACCCAACCACCACCCAACCACCACCACCACCACCACCAGCACCACCACCAGCACCACCAGCACCACCAGCACCAGCAGCAGCAGCAGCAGCAGCCAACCACCAGCAGCCAACCAGCAGCAGCAGACCAGCAGCAGCCAACCAGCAGCAAACAAACACCACCCAACCGCCAGCGAACCAACAGCAGCAAACCAGTAGAAGCCAACCAGCAGCAGCCAGCCAGCAACAGCGAACCAACAGCAAACCAACAGCAGCCAACCAGCAGTAGCCAAGCAACAGCAGCCAACCCGCAGCAAACCAACCAGCAGCAGCGGCAGCAGCACCAGCAAGGCAGCAGCCAACCAAAAGCAAACCTGTAGAAGCCAACCAGGAGCAGCAGCAGCAGCAGGAGCAGCAGCAAACCAACCACCGGTAGCAGCAGCAGCCAACCCGCAGCAAGGCAGCAGCAAGCGGGGCACTCTTCTGGAACACTCTTGTGGGAGAACACAAATCATCCGGTTCACCAGCGACACGCCTGGTTTACAAACGCATGACATCGTGTTTCCCGCTATCCAAGGGCACGGAGCCACCCAAACCCACTTTCCACATCTTTCCACCAAACCGTGTCATGGACGTATATATTTTCGCCGGGCCGTGTGCCACAAGCTAGAGGCAGCCGTGTGACATGACGCCGCCAACCATCTCGCTCACCAGCGACAGCTCGCCTTTACACACGCATGCTTCCCTTCCCCTCATGGCACACACCCACGCAAACGCACTCTCCACCAAGGCCGCGCCAAACCGCATGGTGCAGTGATATGACGGACGCACTGACGGACGTAATTTCGCGGCACAGGGTGTCACGTCTGAGCCCGGAAGTCCCAGAACTCTCTGCACCACCAAGCCCGGAGCTCCCAGAAGCTGCTTCCAGCACTACATGTTACATTTTTGTACTAGAAAGTTACCAATTCTGACCCAGAGCTCGATCGAGCATTTCGGGCGAGGCGCCAGGGAAATTCAACTTCGGCACCTGTAACACGCACAAAGTACTGCGCCTGCCTTGAATAGTGACGACATGACATCTTCATGTCTTCAGCAAACCTTGCACCACACCACAAGTTTGGAGTGATTTCAACGCTTTCTGAGCACACTCACATCCACCAACATCGCAATTTTAGCTGAGACTTGCCACGAAAACATAGCTTCGAGGCAACAGCCTGAAATGCAAATCTCAATGGCACAACGACATCAAACACCTCCAATAGACGACCCTGCGAACGCGAATCCCAATGGCAGAGCGACCACATGTCCTGACCTCACAAAACGCTGCACCTGCGCAGGAATTCAAGCTTCACACTTGAGCATGTCACCTCTGCACAGTATTTCACACGAGTCGGACACTTCAACCTTCCATCCAAAAGTTTCCCCACGAAAGAAACATCACGCGAACAACGCTCTGGCCTCACACTCCCAATGTCAAACGAGAACCCTTCGCTACACATTCGGGAAAAAAATGGAAACGGCAAAGTCAAATCACTGTTTCTGGCCATGCCCGAACCATGTAACTCCCAGAGTTTTCAGCCGTTTCAGATTCTGGCCTCGCTCGTGGATCTTGGTGTAGAGCGGATGCTTGGTTAGCCACTGGAGATCCGATTCGCTCAATGTGGAGGGATCGAAACCGCCTGGCACAGTTCGTCCCGTCCCGGCGCTGACTTTCCCACAACTCTCGCGACTCTGGGCGGAACTCCAACTGGAAACAAATAAACCAAACACATACATGGCCTGGCTACTAGTTGGAACGTGTGCATTCTACAAGAACATCTCTTGCTACTAGTAGCCGCATTCTCATGTTCTTGTGAGTTGGCAGCTGAAGGTATAGTAGGCTGTGGTTAAGTCTAACTCTGCCTGGCTTCCCAATCTTCTGGCGCTCCAGCTTCTCAGCACACGGCACACGGCCGTCGCTTCTTCGCTTTTGTGGGCGCGCTTCGGCACGGCTGCGCACCTATTGAGGATTTTGTCGATTGATCGCACGGGTAATATGAGCGAAAGGAGAGGATCTGTTTCTAGGTGTCTCTTTCGGTAGGGGTGAGTTAAACCACCGTACTGAGTAGAATGGAGTCACCGTACTAGGGCAGCCTGCAGGGCGGTAGGTCAGGGAGGCCCGACCAGACTCTGCACAGGTCTAACATGGTCTAAGATCAGCGATCCTGTGGTCTTTGAACCGATGTCTACCGGCGGAAAATGCACCTAAATGTTAGGAATAGCATTATCTTTTTCCTGGCAACAAAGAAGAATCATGTATCACATGCATCCAGAAGAAACTCTCTCCAAGAGGCTTTCCGGCGAGCACCAGCGCTCTTCGCTGGAACAGGCACTTGGACAGAAAGACTCTGCTCCGCCTGTGGGTTTGGTTCGAGGAACGGCCGCCCTCTCTTAATCCCCTTGAACAAACAGCCACCTACAGCGCCTACACCAAGGGTTCTGGGTCTATGTCTTAGCGGAAGGCTGTTATTATGCTGTGGGGGGGCTGTGCTGGACACCTTCTACCAAAGCTGGGAATCCTTTCAGCGGGGGCAAACCCACCTCGCGGAACACTTGACCTTAAGGAAAGCTTCTCCTGGTGACAGCTGAGTTACAATATTGCAATCGTGGCTATTCCTGCAATGCCCGATCTATTGTCAGTTGATGTTCATTTTTATGATCTTGGATAATGTATGCTTTGCAAATATAGTCATGGAGGTAACCGGGTGGTTTGGCAGTTGTTGCAGCACAAGTACCTGGTTTACTACAAAACAAGTGGATTGACTACAGCACATCTTGACTTCACCGAAAAACCATGGCAAAACCCTCCGCTGTTGATGGACCCTTCGGACCCAGCCTCAGCTGCCTCCGCCTCCGCATGTGCCTCAGCGGCAGCCTTCTCTGCAGCTTGCTCTGCAACCTCTTCATTCTCATTCTCTGCATCCTGCTGGTCCTGCTGCTCGTCCAGGCATAGGGCCTCCGAGTTCATCTTCCGCAGGCGTCGCCGCTTCCGCATCCGCTCCGCCTCGGCCTCGTTGGCTTTCTCCACGACGCGCTGCTCCCGCGCCTTGGACCTGGCGAAAACACACCGACTCGTAGAGGTGAACAGGTAGATTCCTTTGCTAGTAGTAACAAGTGCCTTACTGGTAGTAACAAGAAGCTAGTAATTACAATTCTAATTAAACTCTTATTGTTACTAGTAGAGGTGAACAGGTCCCAACCGTCACCTGGGAGCTGAAGTGCATGGGGAGGACCCCGACCGGAAATCACAGAGGTCACGGAAAAGATACAAACAAAGCTTATCGCTAAGTTTTTCACTGCAAGACTGCCAGTGCCGCAAAACCGAGAGGCATCACGGCTGCCTTCTCCAGGCACTTGTCGCCTGCCGGGCTGATGTAACAGACTTTCACATTGCCATCCTCTTTGAAGTACGCAATGCGCCAGGTGCGAGGCAGCCACTTGGGCCAATGTTCCTGAGATCGCTCCGCCAGAGCCACGATCGACACCGGTCTCGTCTGACTCACCACGATCCCACCACCGAGCACTGGGACGAACCGAGCACCGAGCCCCTTTTGGTGGGTGCCTGTGGACAAAACCAGAGCCTTTGGGGTGTCTGAAAGCTGAAAAAACTCAAGCAACATGGATTGCAGGGTTTTCTGAAACATAGTGATGTCTACCGTCTACGGTACGTCCACACGTTTTGCCGGACTGCTTGAACCAAGCGCGCATGTGTCCACGGACAACCTCCGCCCTCAAGGGGCCGCTACCCAATACAAAGACTGCCGATGACCATGGTCATCAACAGGCTTGATCTCTCTTTCCGGAACCACGGTAGCTCCGGGATCTTGCACTGGCGCGAAAAAATGCTAAAAGAAACAAATCTGAAGCCTGCCATCATCCTCGCGGATGTCGCTTCACTACATCTACAGTATATTATATATATATATATCAGATTCTACCCTTTTCTGGACTATAGATACCCTTCAGGAAACAAACATGGAAAGTACCAGGTACGATGGTAGGGAAGATAAATGTTCTCTACTGGGTTTGGTCACAGTCTTAATCTGACTCACTCACATTTTTTGATGGAATCCCTCTTTGAAAGGAAACTCGTTCTTTTCCGGGGGGCATGCCATCCACTTCCATCTGAGTATGTGAGAAGAGCGCTAAGAAATCTCAAGAGACATATCACTCCCTCTCAGTTTTCGCCCCAAGGCTCCACGCATTCATCGCCCAGGCCCAGGACCTTGCCGTACTGGTCCTGATCGCTCAGACGATGCGGACACCCAGAGACATCCTTCACCTGAGACATCCTTCAGTGGCAATCACTTGCACCCTGAACGCAAGGGGTACCAAATGGCCCGCTGATGATGTTGGTGGTGCTACACCTATGCTGGTCGATATACAGACCCACTTTCGGGCGGGTTTATCGCCTCCTGTGGCCTCCATGAGCGGCATCATTGAAAGGATGAAGCCCTCCGGCAATTTGACTGCTGCAAAAATGATTCAGACTTTTTGACTCCTGCAAGGCCTCAATCTGCCAAGGATCCAAAGGTCTTAGCCTCGTTTGAAGGATCACCTCCATGCCTCAGCACAAGTTGCTGGTTGGTGTACCCACCTCAAGAAGTCTACGCGACCGGTGACCAATCATACGAGACTTTGGCAGTTGGAGATGACCCCATATAGCTTCTTGTTACTAGTAGCGATATACTCACCCAGTCCTTTAGACCACGGTGTCCCAGTCCTTCATGCGGGTGGGCCAAGGAAACTGCCAAGAGCTCCCTCTCAAGTGTGTTTTCTTGTCTTCGAAACAAAAGGATCATGCAGTCACAAATGATTAAACAACACACACTTAAAAGAAACAAATGATAGTTGCTTGGAATTTCAAGGGTCCATATCTTGGAGGCACATCTCTGAGCCAGAATCAACCAAGGCCATGAACTTCCATGAACCCTTTGAGTGGCTCACCCCTACAGGTTCGCAAAATAAGGAAGCCCCGTTCGTAGCGTCCTTGCTCCTAGTAGCGATGCCCTTTGCTTCTAGCAGCGTCCTTGCTCCTAGTAAGGCCAGGAGCCCCATTCGTAGCGTCCTTGCTCCTAGTAGTAAGGCCAGGAGCCCCGTTCGTAGC